TAAGGATTCACGATGAAGTATGCAGTGTGTACCTACAACAGACGGATTTTTTTCTTTCACCATTGTAATGAATTCAGACTGCAGACCAAGCATGGCTGGAGCTCCATCAGTGCACACATCATGATCATAAACACACGATTATTAAGAAACAAATCAATGTCATCATAAATACAACTTTACCATGTTACCACCACATGATTTTAAGCACCACCAACTTCTGATAAAATACAAATTCAAAACTTGCGAATAACAAACAGAGCAACACATGCGTGTTCACAATTCACCAATATACTTATTGCTGCTTACTATTTTTAGGTAAATATAACAACTGGGATAAAACATACCTCAATAGCCTTAACTGAATAAATGTGAGAGAAGAGGAATTATTGCCACGGACGTGTGCAGAAGACTAAAGTTATAAGGCGATACTTTTGCATTTTTTCATAAACTTCTCAATATTAGCCCACGCTCTTGTTAAGAGAATAAAAACTATAATTATAATTAGAGAAATTCCTACTTTTCCCCTAGGGCTTGCGCCCCCCCCCTGGAAATTACTGACGCGCGCCCCCCAGGTTAAGAACCACTGCTGTAGAGCCTACGCGGTCTGAACGTCCATACATTCTGAACGAGTCCACTCGATCTGAGTTGAGCCCAAGCGGTTGATTGAGCAGTTTGAGGGTTGGAGAGCACAACTAACGATGTGGGACCATCGTCTGTCCCCGTTTGACGATTGTTTGGGGTCACCAAATCTCCTTCACCTTGGCTCACAATACAACATAACTTTAGGCAGTTTAGTGAAAACCTTTTACTAACGGGAAATTAGAGCTCCCCTCAACTGAACAAGGTCTGGTTGGCCCACTCCCTTCCATTTTATGGATGTTACTGAGTGTAAAATGAGGCTAGCTGAGTGAATGAATGGTTACACACTGAGACCAGGAGTCTAGTGGGTACTTAGAGAAACATTCTCCAAGGTTGTGAAGGGCTTGTTTGTGCCTAAAGAAAAATAAAGGTGCATGAGGAACCTATGTGTGAGGTTAAGGAGCACGTTTTCACGGGTATTGGTGGAGTCAATAACTTCTTCATATAGTGATACTATTTTTTAAGTAACTGATATTGTCTTGCTGTGTGTAGTTAATATTTCTTAAATATTTTTGATAGTATTGTTTTCCAATGTTTATGTGCCACTAATTGATGTCAGATAACAAGGGAACTGTTTTTCAGACGAGGTTCATCCTCTCTGTTCTAAGTAATACTGTTGATTTAGTTCCTTTAACGCATTTAATATTTCTTTATAATTTCAATATCATGTATAACTTTTGTTCCCCAGTGTAGTGTTTTAAGCCAGGTTGAGAGTTGTACATCTGTTGGTGTACCATTATTTTGTTGAGTGCCCTTAATGCCTATTCATGGTGGAGTTAATAATTTCTTATTTCCTATACCATTTTCTCAGTGATTTATATTTTTTTGTTGAATGCCCTTAAGGCCTGTTCATGCGTGCAAGCAACATTTCTTAATACTTTGAATTTATTGTTGTCTAATGAGGCATTTTCTAAGTTTCTAATAATTTCAAAATCATGAATAAGTTTTGTTCCCCAGTGTAGTGTTTTATGCCAGGCTAAGAGGTGAGCATATGTTGGTGTACCATTATTGATTGTGTCTGTAGAGTTGGAGGGAATAGAAGTGTCTAAATTTTACAGTGAGTCTCATTCACCCCAATCACATGTGCTATCCTTCCACGGGTCACGGAGATTTAATTTTTTTTTTAGTAAATTGTGTTTGTGCTGGCTCGGGTTCTTCTCCAAGGGGCGCTTCCACTGCATTTCCATCCACTAATAAACCCCCAGTCAAGATAGAGAATTCTGACCCGTTACACTCACACACACACATATTGTCAGCATAAATGGATTAAAGTCAGACTGGGGTGCGGTCAAAAGCGGAGTTCCCCAGGGATCTGTATTAGGCCCTCTGCTGTTTGTTATATTCATTAATGATCTTGATTTAGGCATAACTAGTAGGATTAGTAAATTTGCAGATGATACCAAAATGGGGAGAGTGATAAATTCAGACAGTGACTTTGAACACCTTCAAAGAGATCTAGATACCTACATGAGTGGTCAGTAGACTGGCAAAATGAATTTTAATACTGATAAATGCAAGGTACTACAGATAGGGAAGACGAATACAAACGTTAAGTATAAACTAGGTAACACGGAAATAGAATACTCAGATTGTGAAAAAGATCTAGGTGTATTTGTTAGCAACGACTTGAAACCTAGAAACAATGTATTAGCGTTCGCAACAAGGCAAACAGGATTCTTGGGTTCATATCTAGGTCTGTGAGTAACAGAACTGCTGACGTTATCTTGAAACTTTACCTAGCATTAGTGAGGCCACACATGGATTATGCGGTTCAATTCTGGTGTCCTTATTATAGAATGGACATAGATTCTTTGGAGAGAGTACAAAGAAGAATGACAAAAATGATCCATAATATTAGAAACCTTCCATATGAAGAAAGACTGAAAAGCATAGCCATGCATTCATTAGAGAGGCGTAGAGTTAGGGGAGATATGATAGAGGTGTTCAAGTGGGTAAGTGGGATTAACAAGGGTAAAATGGAAGATGTTCTGAAGCTCAGTAATAACGAAATAACTAGAACAAATGGCTTTAAATTAGATAAATTCCGATTCAGAAAGGATATGAAGCAAGCACTGGTTTGGTAATAGAGTTGTGGATATGTGGAATAGGCTACCGAGTGCTATAGTAGGATCGGGGACGCTAGGGAGCTTCAAGACGAAGTTGGATAGGCACATGGAAGTGCTGGGATGGGTGTGAAAAGGGATCTGCCCTGTATGGGCCAGTCGGCCTCCTGCAGTATCCCACTTTCTTATATTCTTATGTTCTTATATAATATATATATATATATATATATATATATATATATATATATATATATATATATATATATATATATATATATATATATATATATATAATAATAATAATAATAATAATAATAATAATAATAATTAACAGTTTATTGAAAAAGTTTGCAGCCCGAAGGCTGAAAATATACATTGGACATAAATGACTTATTGCATACATTGGTGGTTTAACAAAAGCCTTCATTAGAGAAAGGTGAAGGAACATACAGTGAACATACAGATTAATGTTTACACACATAGATCATGTGAGCTGAGGTGCTGAACAGCAGACACGTAGTGTAGTAACTCCCTGACAGATGGTGTTATGAGGGGCATCGCGTGGAGTACTAGTTCCCTCACAGGTTGTGTTATGAGGGGCTTGACGTGGTGTAGTAATTCCCTCACAGATGGTGTTACGAAGGGCCTGATGATGTAGTAGTTCCCTCACAGATGGTGTATGAGGGGCCTGATGATGTAGTAATTCCCTCACAGATGGTGTTATGAGGGGCCTGATGTGGTGTAGTACTTCCCTCACAGATAGTGTTATGAGGGCCTGATGTGGTGTAGTAATTCCCTCACAGATGGTGTTATGGGGGGCCTGATGTGGTGTAGTATTTCCCTCACAGATGGTGTTATAAGGGGCATCACGTGGCGTAGTAATTCCTTCACGGATGGTGTTATGAGGAACTTCACATGATGCTGTAGCAACTCATTCACTATGCGGTGTCGTGCATAATGGGGACACCACGTGGTCCGTTGTCACAGGAATTCACTCACTCAAGTGGGTGAGGTGTGGTCCCAGGCCTCTCTATCGTGGAGTCTCAGGGGAATTATCACTGGGTACCTGGGATCTCACATTGTGAAGGTTAGCTTGGCTCAGACTCAACTGCCGAGTTGTTTTTCACAAGAACATAAGAACATAAGAAAGTGGGATACTGCAGGAGGCCGACTGGCCCATACAGGGCAGATCCCTTTCACACCCATCCCAGCACTTCCATGTGCCTATCCAACTTCGTCTTGAAGCTCCCTAGCGTCCCCGATCCTACTATAGCACTCGGTAGCCTATTCCACATCACAACAAATATAGATCTTTTTCAAAGTTTTCACTAAGCACTGTTCACCACTATTCAACACTGGTTCCATTCCTTTCCCAGATGAAATAGTAACTTCTGGCGAGAACTTGTTGGTATTCCGGTGGGGAGGAGGGTTCAGGGGAGGGGGTTGGTATGGGCCAACATAACCTAGAGAAGTCGACTTGTGAAAGAGACCTAGGGGTACTTGTAAGCCCGGACCTACGGCCTAGAAAACAGTGCGTTAATGTTCGAAATAAGGCAAACAGAGTATTGGGTTTTATATCTAGAAGTGTAAGTAACAAGAATGCAGAGGTCTTATTGCAACTATATCTTGCGCTAGTTAGGCCGCACCTCGATTATGCTGTTCAGTTCTGGTGCCCCTATTATAGAATGGATATAAATTCACTAGAGTCGGTGCAGCGAAGAATGACAAAATGATTCCGACTTAGAAACCTTCCATATCAGGATAGGTTAAAGAAACTTAACTTGCATTCCCTAGAAAGACGAAGAGTGCGGGGAGATATGATAGAAGTATTTAAGTGGGTGAAAGGAATCAATAAAGGGATATAGATAAAGTTCTTATAATATCCGAGCAGGATAGGACTCGGAGCAACGGATTCAAGTTGGATAAGTTTAGGTTTAGGAGGGAGATAGGAAGAAACTGGTTCACAAATAGGGTGGTGGACGAGTGGAACAAGCTTAGCAACCTTGTAGTAAGTGCGGGAACTCTGGAAAGTTTCAAAAGGAGGCTAGATAGATTCATGGATGATAGAGAGTGGTAGTAACTCTCGACAGGAGCTGCCATACACAGGCCAACCGGCCTATTGCAGACTCCTTATTTTCTTATGTTCTTATGTTCTTATAATAGTTGACGTGGCTGCTGCTGAGCAGCCACGTCCAGGTTAAAGTACATACTGTAATTGATATGTCTTCTCAGAAGTCATATTCAAGTGTTCTGCGAGATATGTTTCGTTATATAATCTAAAAGTTATTAACAGGCAAATCATGAACAATGTTTAATTCATCAATATATCAGCTACATCAATAATTTGGTGACCTCATTAATAAAGGACAAAGGTCATGGGACATTTGTGTCATATTTAGTGAGTACTGTAGATTAGCCTTTGGCACTAACTCATCTTCCTGTGAATTTGTTTTTATTATTTTTATTCCTAATTTATTTTCTTCTGAGGGAATGATAATGGAGATGTATAATATTATCTATGAAACAATATAAGAAAAAAAATTCTGAACTGAAGACGAATTATAATACTGTACTGTATATTACCTGACCTGAAGGTAAATAATAGCAATAATCCTATATATTACAAAACACTTTTATACAACGATAATAATGTCTTGTTTTGATTATGTGTCAACAAAGTTTCCTATCAAATTAATTAAGTTTATCTTTCCAGAGTCTTCTCTATCCACAAACTCTCAATTCTGTCTGCTAAAAGTCTCTCCTTTTTATCCAGCCAGACTATTTTCCTATACATAAGGCTCTTTCCTCTCCAGCAGTCGCTCCAGATTAGTGCCTAACCGTCATGAACTCAGTGATAGATAGTGCTTGCATATTATGACCAGTGTTCAGGTTGTAACAGTCCATATACATATAATCGCCCTCGTCGTCGTGTGAGCGAGAGTAAGGAACTAACTGGAGAGTGTTTGTTGGCCTGGGGTTGTCATCAGGACGAGTAGTCGTGGCAACAGCAGGAGATGAAGTGGCAACTGGAAAAATAGGAAGTGATAATTCCTGAGTGAAAGTGTGACAAACGGACAGACTGAAAACTTGGTAGACAAAGTCACAAATACACCGACAACTACGCAAAAATAGACACAGACAGACAGACAACTTGGTAAAGATAGACATAGACAGACAGACAATTAGTGTAAAATACAGACAGAAAGTCTGTTAAATACGCAGAGAGACAGACAGACACACAGAAATTTAGGTTTAAAAGATACAGACAGAGAATTAGGTAAATAGATAAACACAGATATATGGACAGACAAATAATGTGAGACGTAATGCTTCATCAGGCGTTATTTAGAAGACAAATATTAAGAATGTTAGATGTGTTCTTCATTTGAGAGGGTAGTATAGAGTAGGTACAGCAGTATACCCGCTATTGCACTCGACTGCCTTCATTCCTCAACAGTAAATATAGGTAACCCTTCACTGCTGGGAGAATTAGAAGTACCCTGTTAATTTACCAGTGACCCTTCGCACAGGAGGTCAGTGCTGTGTCCACTTGGCTGTAATTTAGGACAATTAACAAGTATCATCAATACTTGTAGCAGTGTGGGGTGAGTACTTTGGCAGGTAAAAAACTCGCTATGACTACTAACACTCCTTATAGGATTGATTGACTGCCTGGTTGATTGATTGAGTTACTGACTGAGTAAGTGAATGAGTGAATGATTGATTAATTTACACTGGATTACTCTGTCGGTTGTGTCTAAATGGAGGTCCAGTGAGGGCCATCTTACATGATCCAGCGTTAGTAAAGGAGGAAACTGTGGTACGTAGACCAGACAAGCCATGGCCGGTAGTGAGGACCATCCTTCATGGCTCAGTGTAAGTACAGGAGGAAACTGTTGTAACTGGGCAAGACCTATCATGGTCGGTACCGCCACATTAGACAACACCCCTTTCACATTTATCCCAAGTGGGATTCTAACTATTCTGGCCCTTTAACCGTTGATTCCTTCTGGGTTAATTAGGCTGGAACATGTATATTTTGTAGGGTTTTAGTAGCGAAACCCATTTGTCTGTTATCTATTTATTGAGGAACTATCTCAGATACAGTTCCAAGTGTATATCACCGTAACTTAATCACTGTAGCTGTGAGTGTTAAGATGAGTCGGAGGCTATGTTAAATAGCTCTGCTAAGTAAGTTCTGTCAATGAGCGGTGAGTGATAATGAGTAGGGACCCATCGAGGGAGAATGGAATTATATCCGACGTCCTCCCTCGAGGAAAGACGGAACCATCCACGATGGCTCTCAATAACGTCTTCCTCTAGATAAGGATATCAAACTACTGCAGCAAGAGGTGGCCAGAGAGCCGGCTACTTAATGCCTTAGCTCAGCACTAAGTGACTTGACTTCCCGTGGGCACACCTTCTCACGTGCTCTGAACATGCTACCTCATAGCTAGTGGAAAGTTACAGAGGTTGATAGTGTCATGGTCGTAATTATGGCTGGTCTGTTTTAAACTTAATGATTCATATAATACATCACGCCCGCAAAACATGTGGATAACTGGTGAGTTATCCCTAGGAAGAAACGCGTTTTCCCTCTCCGTAAATTCCACCGCTGCCACCATTATAAGGGCGGGGAACACACTGCCACCATTATAAGGGCGGGGAACACACTGCCACCATTATAAGGGCGGGGAACACACTGCCACCATTATAAGGGCGGGGATTTTCTTCTTCTCCCATATATTCTTTCATACTTCTTTCTTTGTCTTATTCCTTCATTTGTTCTGTCTAATTATTTTATTTCATGGTTACTCCATCACCTCAGACCTCTGCTAGCATGGCGAGGGTAGGCACATGGGTACTGTAATCCTGGTATCAAGCCACTGGACAAAATAAAGGTGAATACTTAGGGACAAAGAATACCGCTAATATACTCTATGACAAGGTTTATTAATATGAAATTAAATTTGGGAAAAGATGTCATTAACATACAACTACAAGGTTCAACTTCCTCCTTTGACGATCTCCAATTTATCCCAGATCTTGTGTGTGGGTTATTTGAACACCCCACCGGCTGCCCAGAGTCGGTGGCTACCTAACAGTTAGCTGTATTGCACGATGTCGTCGATTCGGCAGGATTAAACTGCTCCATGTATCTTGGGAAGTAGACCCCAGACCGGGGATGGCCAACCTCCGGCACGTGGCGCATTGCATCCCTGTGATAATAATAAAGTAAGGCAGTAAGCCTACTCATTATTTTTAGCGATTTTATTATTTCGTGCACATCCTTTTTCGCGAATGTTATCTTCTTTCACATTTATCTGTTTTCAGTTAAAAAATATGCTAAATGAATCAAACTAGGAAAGATGGACTTTTGTTCTGCAATCGTCCCGTAACATGTTCAATACGCGTTTAATACTTGTGTGACCGTGAGGGCCCAGGCGTCTGCCCCAGCAGTGCGTCACAGGTTCTTTCCAGTTTACAACTGACACTCGGTGCGGTACGACGTTGTGCTTTGTTTGTCCTTTGTGAACATTTGCAGTTTTGTACTTTTCGAAAATTAAGCCTTGTTTTTACATTCCAGTTACCCATCACATTGCGAAAGAAAATGAGCAAAAGAAAAGCAGAAAGTGATAAGCGTGAATTCAATGAACAGTGGGAAAATGAGTTGTTATTTATAGCGGGTGCGTCAGGAAAACCGTTGTGCATTGTTTGTGAAAACACTCTTTCACAGGATAGAAGACATGATCTTAATAGATACTATAAAGCACAGCATCAGACTGAAATAGAAGGAAAACTGAAGCTTGTGCTTGGGTCTGAGTTACAGAAAGAATATGTGACTAAGAAAAAGGAAGAATTCAGAAGAAGACAAAATGTATTTGTTAAAAAAAGTTGTGAAAGTTTGCCGATGACAAAAGCGTCCTATGAAATTGCTTTAGCGTTGGCGAAAAAAAGGAAGTGTTTCTCTGATGGAGAAGAAATTGTTAAGCCTTGTCTCCAAATATTTGCAAGACGTCTTGGTGATAAAAGTATTGAAAGGAAAGCAGACAAAATTGCTCTATCAAGGCAGACAGTTACGAGACGTACCGCGGAACTCTCTCATGATGTATCTCGGCAGCTGAAAGACCTTGTCCATTCTTGTACTTTCTTTTCTTTAGCTTTGGACGAATCAACTGACATATGTGATGTAGCCCAGTTAAGCATTTTTATAAGAGGAATTGATGATCATTTTAGTGTCTTTGAAGAACTTGTCAGTCTTGAGTCGCTTCATGGAAAAACAAGAGAATCAGACATATTTGACAGAGTAAAATCATGCCTAGAAAATCTACAATTAGATTCTAGTAAACTCATCACTGTGTGTACTGACGGAGCGCTGTCAATGCTAGGTAAAGTCGCCGGGACTACAACTTTGCTTGAAAACGTTTTAAATCGTCCTCTACTAAAATATCACTGCATTATACACCAAGAGTCACTGTGTGGAAAAACTTTATATTTGCAGCATGTTATGTTACCGGTTGTGAAATGTGTGAATAAAATTTGAGCAAGAGCATTAAACAGACGAGAATTCAGAGAATAGTGTGAAATGTTAGATTTGGAATATGGCGACCTTGTCCTTCATTGTGAGGTGCGCTGGCTTTCTAGAGGACAGGTTCTGAGTAGGTTTTGGAAACTGAAAAATACTGTTCATAATTTTCTAGAAGAGAAAAATGAGCTACCTGAGGAAAGAGCCCTTTTATGTGATAAAAACTGGCTATTTGATTTGGCATTTTTGGTTGATGTTACCAGACATCTCAATGATCTAAATTTGAAACCGCAGGGCAAGAACAAATTGTTTCCTAGCTTAGTAAATGACATCAATGCATTCAAGATGAAGTTAAAACTGTTCATCTCTCAGTTAGAAAATGAGGATTTGAGCCAGTTTCCGCACTTAAAAGAGCAGAGTGAATGTGCTGCTGATAATGGCAATTTGACAAAATATACTGAAAAAATCAAGTTATTGCAAGAGTCATTTGAAAGTCGTTTTCGTAATTTTGCTAAAGAAGAAGACTGCCTACTCGCATTTATAAACCCATTTTCACTTGGTGAACAAAACATAATGAAGATGCTTAATGACATACAAATGGAACTTATTGACTTGAAAACAAATTCATTATTGAAAATGAAATTTGATGAGCCTTCCTCAGTCCCAAATGCTTCTGACATGATTAATTTCTGGCGATCATTACCCTGTGAAAATTTCCTAGAACTAAGAAAATTTGCCCAGAGTTATATATGTCGTTTCGGAACGACATATAGATGTGAACAAGCATTTTCATCCATGAAATTGATTAAAACCAAAACGAGTTCGCGACTGACTGATTCAAATTTGAAGACTTCTCTGCTGCTCTCAGTAACAAATTTAACTCCAAACATTGAAAGACTGACGAAATCAAAAAAGACTCAAAAGTCTCATTAAAGGTAAGTAATGTTTATCTGCTTTATCAGATATTGTTTTTATATTTAATAATGTTATCATGTAAAAATGCTAATTACGTCAATAAACATATTTTTACAAAAAGTAGACGGGGGTACAAGAGTTGTATGGCGCATCTGAACTCGTGTGTGAACAAATTGACGCATTGTATGTAAAAGGTTGGCCACCCCTGCCCCAGACTCTCGCCACGTGTCAGACTACACCAGGCACCAGTGGTATACCCTGGGACACCCCGTACAGTTATTTGGTCCACAGTGTTTGTTGTATATGATTAGGGATAATAAACTGGAAATAATTATCCCATGTTGGGTAGTGAGCCCATATAAATTGTTAGTATCAGTATAATGTGTGGTGTTGAGTGCATCCTCCATATGTACTAACAACACTTCTAGTGAAGGTACCATATGTAAGTTGATCCTTGTAGCTGTATGTTAATGTAATGTACCACCAGTAATGTTGTAAGAAGTAACAGCATCCAATTTGAATTGCAGATGCGTAAAGCCAAGGAGTTGAACCTTGTAGTTGTATGTTAATGACATCTTTGCCCTA